TTCTCTCTGGGCAAAACAAAAATTCCAATAATGCCTGCACATCTTCACACACAGTCTAGCAGGGATCTCACTTGTCAGCAGAAATGAGCCATCTGGTTGCTGCCCTGAGGTCCCATGTTACACAAATGTCACTGCTTTGCACATTCACGACAGACCATTTCCTCACCAGCCAGGAGAAGCTGTATCTTAAATAACTGAAGCAAAATTATTTGTCAAATAACAAGAGCAAAGTACATTTTCAAATGTCAGTTGTCCTGTCTATAATGAACTTAACTTCCTAAATATTAAATATTCAGTAATCTGGCTGTAGTTTCTGGATCATTTAAACAAATGAATTATGCTTAAAAAAGCTCAGAAAGAATTGTCAACTATGTCTTCATACTGTGAATTCAGCAGACTGAGGAATAACCAAAGTGGCTGTGCCAACCCTCTTAAAGATGCATTTGGACCCTGAAGTCCAAGGAAACTATTGGCCTTATGTGGCTTCCCCACACCCCGGCTCAGGTGTGTTCACCCACAGATTGGTTAGGCTGCAACTGAAGAGCTGACAAGGATCTCAAGCTTGGTTAATTCTGCTGCAGATTATTTTGTTTTTAATTTTTAAAAATACAATGTGACTTAGTTATAAATGAGAACAAATTAACAATGAACAATATTTCAAAAGTTGAGAAACGTGGCCTAATAGTACTGAATACATAGACTTTTATCATCTTCAGATTCCAAGTTTATTGTGACTTAATTATATAAAGATGAGGAGTCAGTTTTGCAACCTAAAAATATTTACTTCTTAGAACTATATAAATACTTCAGTAAACAATTTTTAAAAAGATAATGAGACAGACGTGCAATTATAGAACTGCATACCAGTCAGGCCAGTTCCCTGCAGAGGGAATTCCCAGCATGATCTCATTCATCTGTGAAGACCCAGAGCAATCCTTGTTCAGACATACACATACATCTACTTGTTTGGCATGGTCAGCCCTCTGCTTCTTGGTGGTTTCTCTCTGCTGAATGTACCTGTCCACTTGTCCGCTTCTTAGAGTAGACATTAACCTTCCTCATCCACCAGCCTTCGGAGGAGGACTGGGGCCATGAAGATGATTGATTTGACCTTTTTTTCCTGGAGGGCTTCCTGGTGGCCATCTTCCATTATCATTTCTGGAATCAGATGAATTTTCCTAGCCTCTTCTTTTTTTCACATGTTGCTGAAGCAGAGTTTTGAAAAACAAAACCACAAACTTGGCTATTCTTCAGAAGAAATCTGCTATCAAAGGTAATTTCCATGGAGATGAACTCTGCTCTCCAACACTTGTCCATTCAAGATGTCAGCCATCCTGTCCCGCTTCCCCACTTCAGAGCAACTTGCAGAATAATTTAACTGAACTAATGCCAGTTCTCAGTTTGAGCCTAAGATGATTCAAACTTGTGTTTTGAATTGGGAGACAGCACTGCAAGAGTTTGAATTGCATGATGGCTTTTCAGCTGAGGAAGAGAAGAAGAAATCTTTATTTTTATTTTATTTATTTGTTTTTATGAGAGAGTCTTGCTCTGTCACCCAGGCTGGAGGGAAGTGGTGCGATCTCTGCTCACTGTAACCTTTGCCTCCCAAGTTCAAGAAATTCTCCTGTCTCAGCCTCCCAAGTTACAGGTGTGTCCCACCTCATCTGACTAATTTTTGTATTTTTAGTAGTGACAGAGTTTCACCATGTTGGTCAGGCTGGTTTTGAACTCCTGATCTCAGGTGATCCACCCACCTCAGCCTCTGAAAGTGCTGGGATTACAGGCGTGAGACACCACGTCTGGCTGGAAATCTTTATTTTAAATTTTTTCATATGCATCTTGGAGAAAAATTAAGATGAGGAAGACTTGTATCACAGATACCAGTTCCTAGGGTAGTTCCTGGAGACCAGGGGTCTGCAAACTATGGCTCAAAGGCCAAATCAAGTTCAGGGCCTGTTTTTGTACTGTCTGCAAGTTAATAATAGCTTTTATACTGTTTAAAGTTTGTGAAGAAGAAAAAACAACAAGGAATAATATGAGATGGAGATGCCATTTGACCTGTAAAGCCTAAAATAGTTACAATCTGCCCCTGGGCAGTTGGCCAACCCTGGGCTATAGACTCATGTCTGCACTCTATGGAGAAAGGGGATAAATGCAGCAGGTGAAATCAATGCAAGGTCAGGGATGGGGAAAAAGAATATTCTTTCCACCTCTGTGAGGATCATAGCATGACTCTGCCAGAGTAAAGAATCTAGAAAAAACAATTCTTGAGGATAGAAGATTTTGGGTGCATGTGAAGACCATGCTTTGGGCAGAGACATCAGCTTCCCAGGGACACTAGTGGTGGTTATGGAGGCATGGAGTGGCCTTCTTGTAACTTTGTGAGCAGCCAGCATCACAGTGAGAGTCAGAATTCCTTTCCATAAAACAAACAACCTCCAGGGACCTGAAAACGTAATTTGTGAATTGGGGAAGGAGCTGAACCCTTTCCTGAAGAAGAGGGCTAAAAGCCAGTGAAACTTTAGCTATTAATGGTGTGGAAAGAAAAAAAGTGGCAGTTTTCTTGAAAGTTCCCAATCTTTTTCTATGATGTCACTTTCAGAGAACACAGACCAAAAATCAAAAGCAAATTAGGCTGGGTGCAGTGGCTCATGCATGTAATCCCAGCACTTTAGGAGGCTGAGGCAGGAGGATCACTTGAGGTTAGAAGTTGGAGACTAGCCAGGCCAATATGATGAAACCCCCGTCTCTACTAAAAATAAAGATTAGCCAAGCGTGGTGGTGCACACCTGTCATCCCAGCTGTTCAGGAGGCTGAGGCGGGAGAATTGGTTGAATGCAGGAGGCAGAGGTTGTAGTGAGCTGAGATCATGCCACTGCACTCTAGCCTTGGCAACAGACAGCGATTCTGTCTCAAAAAAAAAAAAAAAAAACCCCACAACAAAAACTAGCAAATTAATTTGAACCTTTACCTGTATCTCTCAAGTGACATTCAAAAGGAAATGTGGTTTTCATGCCCTGTAGCTTCCTCAGGATCTCCTCTCCCCTACCATTCCTGTTTCCTTTCCTTGCCTTTTCTGGCAAAGACCTTCCACTGACATGGGAAGTATGTGTCAGATGATCCTGATCTGAAAGATGAGTGTGAGTTAAGATCAGGATGGTGGTGAAGTGGCACAGATCACTGAGCAAGAAACACCAGCATTTTCCTCCTGTGCATTCATCACTGTCCTAACGTATTGTTCATAGGAGTCTAGTCATTCCCCACCCCGAGGCTAGAGAGGCCTAGGGAAACTTTAGCTACACCAAATTATGAAATTGAAATTTGTATTTAGTTCCCTAGCTTCCCTTTTCCACAAATTTTCCCACCATTCAATGACTTACATGTTTTTAAAACACTTACGGAATGCCTTCTATGTGCTTGTAGTTCAGAAAGAAAGAAATATTCTAAAGAGGTAGACAGATTAGGAAGCAAATAATTACATGAGTGTAAGAAACAGTATAATAGAGTTGTAAGAGTATAATATAAAACACTGATTATTTTGAACCTCCCCCTCCCAAAATTTAGTGGGCTAAAGAAGAAAGAAGTTTGTTTCTCTTTTACACAACAGTTCCAGTGTAAGCAGCCAAGGGACGGTGGTTCCAAGGTAACGGGGACCCAGGCTCCTTCTGTCTTGTTGCCCATTCATCCCTTAGGGTGTTCTGCACAGACACCTCACCACCACACCTGCTGGGTCTGTATCCCAACTAGCAGGGGAGTTGGGGGAGAGAGAAAGGTGCTTGCTTTAAGGAGGTAGCTTGAAACTTTGATTCTGCTCATTGAATTTATCATTTAATCACATCTAGCTGCCAGGGAATCTGGGAAATGTGCTCTTTAGCCATGTGCCACCAAAAGCATGTGCTTTGTATTTACTAAATGAAGAAGGGAAGAATGGATTTTCGGGACTAACTCATCTTCTCGGCTACAGATTATAGCTAATTCAATATTCCCTAAGATTGTGTTGGCCACAGAGTAATTTGTTCTTAGTAGTAATGGCTTTTAACCCTACAGTTTCTCTACATCCCAGAATGTGACCACAAGATTTAGCCCAAATCTGGAAAAGCTACAAAACACTGCAAGAGGAACTAAAAGGTCCTTCTGGTACAGGTAGTATAAGTATTTGCTAAACAATTCAAGGATCTAAGCTAAAGAATCTGGTGGCAAATAGCATTTGGCTCTCCTTCTAACACATGTGTTCCATCTATTCATGATGAAGAAGGAGAGACTACCTAAAACTACTCAAAGTTAGAGATTTATCAGCATGTAGCATCTGCTCCCATCTACTTCCATCCAAGTGGTGCACATCACCTCACGGTTTCCCAAAATTGCTCTTCATCTTACACCTCACAGTCAACCTCAACAGGGCTTCAACAATGTGGTAGAAGTACCAAAACTTCCACCAGATTGAACACCTAGAGTAGTAGGAAGGGTATGAACAAGAGGGGTGTTTGCAAAGCTTACCTCCTCATTAAGAAGGATCCATGCCAGATGGGTTGATGCTGCCATTTTGATACAGACGCTTTGGAGTCTACTTTAGACCGGACTGTCAGGTCTCCATGTGCAAGCCTGGAGCCTGAAAGTCTGAAGTCTTGCTTGCCTCAGCTGATGTCTCCCACTCCCTGCCTGCATTCGCCACTGTCCCTGATCACCCATCAGAGCTTCCCCAGACAAGCCCCTCACCCAACCCTGCCAACTTAACTGTTCTTATGATAATGTAAATATCTCTCACCCCACCCGCCAGTGTAACTGAACTTGTGGTCATGTATACTCCTTGCCCCTACCCCCACCACTGTAACTGAACTTACTCTGCAACACCCCCACCCCCAAAAAACTACCCAAACCTATAAAACCAACTCCTATCCCACTGCCCTTTGCTAAAGCCCTTTTCGGCCTTAGCCCGCCTGCACCCAGGTAAATAAACAGCCATGTTGCTCACACAAAGCCTGTTTCAAAGGTCTCTTCATTCAAAGAGCGTGTTTTTCAACACAGACTAAAACCAAACCATTTACTTTTTATTTTTTGAAATAAAAACTGCTTTAGTATTTTTATCTGATGACACAAATAACAAATACCCACTTTTAAAAAACCTGATAATGCCAGAAATTTTGCACAGGTACCTAAATAAAATAAAGCCATCCAATACAAAATACTTGATGGATATATGCCCCTCCCCCAGAATTTGTTCATTGCATAGCTTTAAAAATCGCTGGTTGGATTTTCTGGGAAGCAGATTCTGAGACAGAGTTTGTTGTTTAGGATCTTCTTGAAGAATTGTCCTTGGGATTAACACCTATGGAAAACAGGGAAAGAAAATAAATTTTGATGGAGAGAGAACTCCAGCTACATCATACGCCTGACAACACACTTAGCTGTCCCCAGGAAAACTCTGCAGTGTAAGTGGCCCAACAGAGTTGTTCTGTGTTGGACTGAAGTGTCCTGACCTTAAACTCCTATCTCCATCAGCACGTACCCGTCCCAGGAAAGGTGACTCTGCAGCTGAATCAGTCCCCAAAGGGACAGTTGGGGCAAAAAGTCCTTCTTTGAAGGGGGATCTAGGTATGTTTCATCTACCATACAGTCATACACAAACACACACACACCCCATATATTTAGCTTTAAACAAAAATATGATCATATTATCTATGCTCTTATGACATTGACACAGCAACATAATGTAAACTTTTTCCCATGGCCCGAAACATAGATCCCATTTATTTTTAATTACTGCAGATAGTCTATTGAGTTGTACAATTCTTCATCAAATCTCTGTTGATGGGCATTTGAGAACCTTCCCAATTTTTGCCTCTATAAAAACTCAATCATGAACATATTAATGTTTATATCTTTTCACACTTGTGTAATTATTGCCATAAAGTAATTCTCCCAAGTGGAGTTGCTGAGCCAAAAGGCTTGCATTTTTATATTTTGAGGTATGATACTAAATTATCTCCCAGAAAGCTGCAGTCTACCAGAGCACTGGCACTGAGGCTAAACCACATCAATCATTTTTTTTTTGAGATCGAGCCTTGTTGTGTTGCCCAGGCTGGGGTGCAGTGGCACAGTCTTGGCTCCTGCAACCTTCACTGCCTAGGTTCAAGCAATTTTCCTGCCTTAGCCTCCCAAGTAGCTGAGATAACAGGTGTGCACCACCATGCCGACTAATTTTTGTATTTTTAGTGGAGACGGAGTTTCAGCTTGTTGGCCAGGCTAGTCTTGAACTCCTGATCAACTGATCCGCCCATCTCGGCGTCCTAAAGTGCTAGAATTACAGGTGTGAGCCACAGGGCCTGACCCATATCAATCGTCTTAATCTTTGCTAATCCTATAGGTGAAAAATAGCTCATTGTTTTCTTAATACATTTATTAACGTGATGTTTAGGTTAAAGCTGTTTCGTAACTTGAGAGATTGTATTTTTTAATTTATTTTTTCCTTTGTGAATTATCTCTACCCATCCTTTGCACATTTTTCTCTGGTTTACACGTATCTGTTATATTGAAGTTAATAAACCTGTCTGGTTGTATGATATAATATTAGTTCCTAATACAGCATCTGTGTCTTAATTTTTTCTTTTTCTTCTTTTTTTAAAATGGATTAAATCCATCTATTGTCTAAGAAAATTCTGGTTTAGATGTTACTCTTTGCCAGTTTCTCTCTACCCTAAGTTTACAGAGACGGTCACCTGGATTTTCTTCTGGTACTTTTAAAAATCCCCACTTTCACATTTTCTATTAGTAAACAATGTAAAAAATAGACATTCTCTGATCAGCGCACTTCTTAATCTCATCTAATACCCAAACCACATTAAGTCACCTGTTACTGAGAAAAGTAATAAAGAAAACATTGGTTTTACATTTCAAAATGGTCATTTTGATGGAATTCCATGTAGTTGCTGCTTTCATAATCTTACTCCATCAGAAATGCCCCTAAATACCTGCCATAAGAGGCTGAGGCAGGAGGGTGTTTCTTTCAGCCTGTAGCATGATAACCTCAAGCAACCCACTGAGGTGTGAGCTAACGGCAATATAAAGTGAACCAAAGGAAGTTCCAAGAGTCAGCACTTCTTCCAGGCATCTTCCTGCTCACCCCTACTTTACCCCACAGTTCTCTTTCCTCCCACACAATTATGGCTACGGGTTTCCTGGCTCTGTTCCTAGATGTCTCTGGGGGTAGTCACTCTGCTTTTCCCTCCTGGCTTTAAAAAAACAACTTTCTTGAGGTATAATTTATATACCATAAAATTCACCCATTTAAAATCTATACTATAGTGATGTTTTACAAGTTTTAGTGAGTTATGCAACAGCTACAATCTGGTTTGAGAACATTTTTGTCACCCCAATAAAGTCATTCACACCACATTTACAGATAATCCCCATGCCCTCCCCAGCCCCAGGCAATCACTAATTTACTTTCTATAGAATTGCCTTTTATGGAAATGTCAGATAAATTGAATCATATACTCCTCTAGTTTTGACACCGCCTCTTATCTTCAGTGAGTAATTCCAGACTCCGCCTCAGCTCTGTGGAAACTGATCTGCCAACCAAATGCAGGTTCACGCAGCTGATAGATGAGCGCTCTAACTCAAGTCCAGCTCTTGGGGTTCCAAGTTCTTTTCAGTCCTTCCTGCATTCCTGATCTGGCTTTTCAATGTTGTATGAAAAATTTAGTGATGGCCATTTAAAATAAGTTACAAAGATTACTGGCTTTTTGATACACATGGGCACTGAGCTCGTGACTCTTTTCAGCCACCAGAGGGTGTCCCAAAGATCTATCTTTGAACTGGCTTTTGCTTGTCACAGTTAAACATCTTATGAAAGAGAATGTGAGTTGTCACCTGATTCTGGGTGAGTTTTTTTCCAAGATACTTTTCCTCTCTGAGTAATTGCAAATAGCAATGGAGAATAAAAACTAGAAACCGTTTTTTGTACATATCAAAAGGTTTTTTTCAGGCTTTTAAGAGGGAGATTTTAAAAATATATATAATAAAAGGGAAAATGTAGACTTGATTTAAGAAACTTATGAAGAATTTTAAATTATGGCAATCCAGCATGACACATATCAAGTAACCAAATTATTAAGCAATTAACCAAAATATTAAGGTGTTTTGCTAATCTTTTGCATATTTACATAATTAAATCAATCCTGTGAGGGAGAAGGGAAATTGAAACATTTTTAAATGAAGGTTACCCAGATTCAGTACTTGCATAGCTAGAATTAACAGGATGAAAATTCAGTATGACAACTGAATTTATATTTTGAAAAATAATTTTGTTGTGGTGTTTTTTGAGCTATATAGACTAAAATTGGCCAAATTCAGTTGTCAATTTTGAGGAAGAGGTGCTTGTTAAATACACACTGTGAATGAAGAGACTCCCCTAAACAGGCTTTGTGTGAGCAATATGGCTGTTTATTCACCGGGGTGCAGCTGGGCTGAGTCTAAAAAGAGAGTCAGCACAGGACAGTGGGATAGGAATTGGTTTTATAGGTTTGGGGTAGGTAGTAGAAAGTTACAGAAGTTATTCTGTTGTTCAGGGCAGCTTTTGTAAGTTGGGAGGGGCTCATAGGGTCTGGAGTCATAAGGTTGACCAAGGTGGGTTACAAAGTCCAGTTGCCTTATCAGTTGAGGTGGGAATAAGGAATGATAGAAGAATGTCTCCAAGTTAATTAGGTGCTGCAGGGGTTGGTCATTCTTTCCCTTTTTGTGGTTTTCCAGTTACTTCAGACTTTCTAGTTCCAGGAACTCATCTGGAGTGTACATGCAGGTTGCAGAGGTTACCATGCTGTTCATGGCACAGTCAGTTGGCCTATAAGACCTTACAGTGCTTAGCATTGTAGTCTCCAGGATCCAGAGGGCAGATGTATCTCTTGACCTCCTCTAACTGAGCACCTCCTTCATCTTCTTTATTCTGGATGGATGGATGGATGGATGGCTGGATGGATGGATGGGTGAATGAATGGATGGTTGAATGGACAGAGGCTGCTCAGCAGGCAGGATGACAGCTCCTGGGAGCATATTAAGAATAACTTGATGATGAACTGTGCTAAGGACAACACCTGCCCCTTGTCAAAGTCACTGGTGCTATGTCTGGTAGTGCTATGTTTTATTTGACTACATGATCCCCAGAATTGGCTGCAGCTGTAGAACCAGTATTAGACCAGAGTCACAAGACACAGGTTGCAGGATTGGATCTTCCTATACCTCACGACGTGTCACTTAACCCTTATGTGTCTTCTCATTTCTAAAAATCTATAGAATGGCAATGATAATAATATTTGCCTTAATTATCCTCTCACAGGATATTTCAAGGATTAAATGGAAATAAGATAATGCTAGATAAATGCAAAGTACAATTATAGCACTGTGCCTATGTAAGAAAGAAAGAAAATGAGGCAGAGGTATATACTCAGAGAGAGAAGAAAAAAGCTTGGAGAGTGAGAGTGAGAGGGAGACAAGACAATCTCCATTCCAAAGGCATGATTCTTCCTGCAATCATGCTAACGTATATGAGGTCATTTTTCCTCATTTTTATATAGTCAGCCCCTCTGAAGAATAGCAAATAATCCATTCTAGTCTCCGGAGATTATTTCTCCAATATTATTCAAACATCAGAACCTTTCAAATGTGTTTATGCTTTCCATGAGGATTAGTTGCTATTAAAATATAAATGTCCCAGCAAATCCCAGGATTGGATAGTGCCATTAAAAATCTCACATTGACTGGAATGGGGAGGTCAAGAACTGACTCTCCAGGAGTGGGAAAGTGTGACTTTTATGCCTACCCTTCACTTGACAAGTAAGTAATTCCTGAAAACTCTGCACCTAAGTGAAACGTTGCTAAATGGCAGCTATTTCCATTATTTTTAATGGGAAAAGTTACTGTGTGTTCCACCCCATGTAGTCAGCTCCCTCCGTACTGAGTGTTTCCTGAGAGACACTTGCTTCCTCCATTTATGGCATTTACAATATATGATGAGATGCATCAGCACTTGAGATGCAAACTGGATTTATGGACGCTGTTGAAAGGGGTAGGTGACACTGAAAAGGGAAGATGTGTAGAGCTTCCAAAAATAGCAAACCTTCAAGTACTTTCCAAGCATCGAATTCTATGCAATTAAGTAATAGGCTAATGAGAAAGCACAGCATTCTGGTCACATGGGTAAGGTCCCTGCAGCCTCTGGAAGGCAGCATTTTTATGATGGGCTTCCATCCCAAATGGCAGGCGATTAAGACTCAGGCCACCATACCCCCTGACTAGAAAGTCTGTTTAAACTGATGAAACCATAATATCAAA